TTATAAGAACTGACAGTATTTTCCCACAGCCACCAATCAGATTCAAGCTTGCCCTGGGGAATGTCATTTGAAAGTGTGAATTTGATTGGTAGTTGTGAGGAATTACAAACAGTTCTTACTTCTAACGCTTGCATACTAGGGACTAGGCTAGAGGCTCGCCAAGCAATTTAAGGGGGAAGATGACTAGAAAAGTCACCCGAACCTAAATGGTTCCCCATTTGCCCAAAAAAATGCTTCACCCCTCCAAGTCCAAGTCAACATGGCTGACTGAGGAAGCTCTGTGATACACTTGCCTGTAGCAGATAAAACACGGCTGAATTAGCAGCTGCACACTTTTTTTTGCTATTTAATATTAAAGGAATATGGAATGTCCAGCAGTGGTGGGAGACATATTAATGAGCAGTGAGCGTGGGCAGTGGTCTATGGTAAGGAAAGGGTTAGGTGGTGATGCTGCGAGCAGGGTGACATGCACACAATAGGCTGCTGCTTGGAATTTGGAATTAGTGCACTCAGTGCGAGGCCTCGCTCTCTATCCTGCTGCTCGCTCCTTAGCCTGGAGGAATATTAAAAATGCATCAGTCCAGCTATAGGCAAATGCATCATCGCCTGCATTAGTTTGGGAAGAGAGGCGGGAGAAGGCCGGGCAGGGCTTCGTTAACTGGAGGGGAACGTAACCAACAATTACAATCCTGGGATGTGCCTCATTAAAGATGCAGCACAGCATCCCTGTGTGCTGGGTCCACTTCTATCACATGCCTACGTTAATGTACACACGTCACAACAAGGCCCTTACACACTGCAGCTTACTACAATAGGTACATACATGTACACACAGGCTGACTAAGCACAGCCTGTTTTCTATAAATCCACCAGATTCAGGTATTTCTAAGGACAGTCAGAAAGCATCATGCTGACCACACATGCTTCTGATCTGCACAATCAGACACTACCTGCATGGAGTTTGCATATTATCCATGTGGTTGCATGAAGTACTCCAGGTTTCTAAGATGTGCTGTTAGATTATTTGGCTTCTGTCTAAATTGGCCCTAGAATGTGTGAGTGTGTATGTACCCATGTGAAATAGGGGGCCTTAGATTGTAAGCTCCTTGGGGGAGGGACTGATATAATACACACTATGTAAAGTGCTACGTAAATATTGAGTGCTATATAAATAGCTGTAATAAAGAAAGAAATATAGGATTTTGATTACATTTGGTGGTGTGTGGAAGGGTAATGTTTTTAAGTGATATCAATTAAAGCATTTGGAAAAAAGAGCCGGGCCCTCTGTTTCTTCTTGTACCAAATTGTATTGTAACTGTAATGCCCCCCCCAGCCCGCACACCACCCCCCATTGACTTCTCCATCACATCCAACAACGCCACCATCAAACCCGCCCCGCAGGCCAGAGTACTTGGTGTCATTCTGGACTCCAACCTATCCTTCCAGCCCCAAGTCCAATCTTTAACAAGCTCGTGCAGACTCCACCTCCGCAACATCACCAAAATCCGCACGTTCCTAACCCCAGAAACCACTAAACAGCTCATCCACTCCCTCATCATATCACGACTCGATTACTGCAACTCCCTCCTCACTGGCCTGCCTCGCCGCTGGCTATCCCCGCTTCAGTCGATGCTGAATACGGCTGCCAGACTCATTCACCTTTCCAACCGCTCCATCTCCGCCACCCCCCTCTGCCAATCCCTCCACTGGCTTCCGATTGCGCAACGGATCAAATTCAAAATCCTAACACTGATGTACAAAGCCGCCCACCATACTGCCCCCAAACTACATCACCGACCTAATATCCAAGTACCACCCAGCACACACACTACGCTCCTCACAAGACCTCCTTCTCTCTAGTTCCCTGGTTTCCTCCTCCCATGCCCGCCTCCAGGACTTCTCCAGGGTGTCACCCATCCTCTGGAACTCCCTGCCCCAACCCATCAGATTATCACCTACTCTCCTCTCCTTTAGGCGCACCCTGAAAACCCACCTCTTCAGGGAAGCATACCCCACCCCCTCCTAACTTGCCAACCTCATCCACTCTTCCTACTACCCCATCCCCCACAGCTATCTCCTCCTGTGCTACTATCCCCTCCCTCCTAGATTGTAAGCTCGAAAGAGCAGGGCCCTCAATCCCCTCATGTTTTGCATTGTATTGTTGTTGTTCTGTCACATGTTCTGTCCCCCTTTGTAATGTACAGCGCTGAGCGAACTATTGGCGCTTTATAAATACTGTAATAATAATAATAATAATGTCTACCTTCATTTTGTAAAGTGCTGAGCAAACTGTTGGCGCTATATAAATCCTGTATAATAATAATAAGGGATTTCAATAGAGGGCCCATTCACATCATATGCATTGGGCAGTTTCAATGGCTAGACAAGGCCGTTGGCCAAATGTCTTATTGTTTTGGTTTAAACCAATGTGCTGTTAGTGTGAGCTGAAGACATTTTGGACAGGATGAATTTTTACACAATGCAGCTGCTGTGATCCAACTTCCTGTTAGAGGATGGCTACGTTCATTCTCTATGGTCCCACTGTATGTATGAACGTAGCCGCCATCACATACTCACTCCCAAGATGGACTATGGACTATGGGATATGTAGTGTGCACAGAGCAGCACACATGACGACAATTCCCATGCACTGCTTGTTCCAAACAAACGGAAGTGAGGAGGATAGTACAGGGGTGGACTGACAACTCATGGGGCCCCCGGGCAATAGGGGATCATGGGGCCCCTGTGTCCTTGGCCAAACTCAAAAAAGCCTATAAAAAAGTTACCAGGGGCATCTCATGGGCCCCCTACTGATCCCGGGCCCTCGGGCAGTGCCCGAGTTTCCAAATGGTCAGTCCGCCCCTGGGATAGTAGAGGTTCGGAAGCTCACAGATAACATATGCCGAAACACAGACTGAGTAATGATTTCATGAAAAATAAATTACAGGGCCATTAAGTAGTGAATGTGTATGGATTATTTTTCGAGTATAGGGAAATTGTTTAGTGTCACTGAAACTGGGATCTATTTAAAAAGGGGAAACACTAGGCTCTGTTAAAATGGCTAAATACACAATATTGCTTCTGTCTAACGTCTTTTAAACAAGCAAATACCATATGATCCATTCAATCCAATACATCCGATCTACAGAAGGATGCTGGGAACAACCAGTTAGAAAAAGTTACTGTATTTTTCCAAAATCAGCTCTGCTCAGATGTGACATGCGGAGCAGAAGTCACACAGAGGAAGTAAAATGTTATACATACAGTATTACTGGCAGTTAAATCCAGGAGTATGCTATAAAGTACATATATTTCTTCCACAGAGTGATCTCAGGAACTACACTGGGGTTACGGAGTCTGGCTTTTTTAGACACATTCAGCTTAGAGGAGTTCATTTGTAAATTCTAAAAACCTTAATAATACTTTGGCTTTTAAAAGTGGACCTTTCCTCCCCAGAACAAACAAAGCATGGCGCATGCTGTTCTCCAAGCACTTTGTAGGCTGGCCTTTCTCAACCGTTTCAGCACAGAGGAACCCTTGAAATAGCTTTCCGGTATCAGGGAACCCCTGCTAAAAATGACTATATCTAGAAGTCATATGTGTGATCGTCAGTGAGTAGAATGCTCCTTACACTAGCTGTCATTGTGAAGAATTACCGTCTAACAGATAGCTAAAAAGATCAATGGTGTTAATCGGACCTCATCTGAGAGGCAGAAATTGCTCATTGCTCAAGGAACCCCTAGCAACCTCTGGAGGAACCCTGGTAGAGAAACCCTGTTCTAGTGAGTTGTAAAAGAAGAATTTTATTTCGATTGTTTTAACCACCTCCCGTCCGGCCGTTGTATATAAACGGCCGGACGGTGGCAGTGCAGGGTCGTTTGGCCATTTATAAATGGCCTCCCCGCACCCTGCTTGTGGGCGCTCACTGGGAGCGCGCAGCACCGCAATCCGGTGCCCGCTGTGTCCTCCGGACACAGTGAAAAACCGATCGTCGGACGGGACCTCTGTACGAGGTCCCGATCATGTGATCACTGATTAGCCAATCAGTGATCACATGCAAAGTAGTAAGCAAGATGTCACTTGTGACATCATTGCTTACTACGTGTGAAATCTGTGAATGATCACAGAGGTCACATGGTACAAGGCTATTCACAACAGCCTTGTACCATGTGACAAGCTGTGACCAATCACAGCTCACTCAGTAGTTCTCAATGGCTGCAAGAATGCAGACAGAGAGGAAGAGAAATTATTGCTTTTACATCCTATATGGGTGTAAAAGTAATCAGTGTAAAAGAAAAAATCTTCATCACCCCCCACAAGTAATACAGTGTCACCATGGTGAAACTGTACTGCTAGGGTGACAATATGTAAAAAAAAATGTTTTAAAAATTATAATTTTTGGTTATAAACTAATTTGGCTTATTTTTTTTTTTTACTAAAAAGATAACGGAATAAATTTTGGCTAAGATTTATGATGAAATATTATTTATTTGCAACATTTTATAAGAAAAACACTTTTTTTCAAATTTTTGGACTTTTCCATTTACATAGCAAAAAAAATAAAAATCCCAGCGGTGAATAAATACCACCAAAATAAAGCTTTATCTGTTTCAAAAAAATGGTAAAAAATTCATACGGGTACAGTGTTGCATGACCGCGCAATTGTCATTCAAAGTGTGATAGCGCTGAAAGCTGAAAATTGCCCTGGACAGGAAGGGGGTAAAAGTGTCCGGACAGGAAGTGGCTAAAAATTCTACTTCCTGGATTTTCTGCAGCACTGGTGATGTAGTCAGGGCCTCACAGCTGCTCCTGGGAAGGCTACGTCACCAGTGCCTTCCAGGGAGATTTCACCTCTAGACTGCAAGATCTTGTGGAATTTTAGGAAATCACGGGGGCAGCAGTATACATCCGAGAACAAAATGGTTGTGATTCTCAGATGTACAGTAGGTTGCATGTTGTGAACTTAGAAGGCAGTAAAGCACCTTGATACATGTCCTTACCTGATCTGATAGACTTGTACAGGATCCTGTGAAATCTTCCAGGTCTGATTTGGAGGAACCATCACGGTCGTCTATCACCAAGTCGATGGGCATCTTGCCTTTTAAACAGGTGATGTATCGATGACAGAAGTTATCACATAAATCATGAACCTGCAAATGGCATAATAGTTATGTGTTATTCCGGAAAAAGTACCTTTCTACCTAGCCATGCAAAAATATTCTTGGGATGCTGTTAAATGACAGAATAAGTTGCTTATCCTTAACAGATTAATCTACCTCAAATAGGTTTATAGAGCTCTCACGCCAATCCTTTTCTAAGTTTCTTTGGTGTTTCTATGAGACACCAGTGGTGAGACATGCCCACCAAAATTCCCAGATCCGCCAAACCATCCATAGCCAGTAGAAAGCCAATAATAATGTTATGCTTCCCAGTGTAGAATGAACAAATAGAGGAATTCAGCCTTTTAGGAAAGCTAGGAAATCCACAAATACAAGTATATTTCATTATTATATACTCTCAGAGATTGTAAGCTCCAAGAAACAGGCACTCCTAACCCTCTTGTATTGAACTGTATTGTTGCTGTATTGTCTCCCTTTATATAGTAAAGTGCTGAGCAAACTGTTGGCGCTATATAAATCCTGTATAATAATAATAATAGAAGAAGCCAGCAGGTGTTCCAACCAACTGGTGGCCAGCCAAAGGTCCCTTTCATCACTCAGGAGATACGATCAGGTCCGCCTGTCAGTTTTTCAGGCAGACCTGATCAGATGGTCCATGAATCCCTTTAGACCAGCAGGTGTAAATGGACTTATGTCTGTTTACACCCATCTACCTCCGATTCAGTCCGCTAAAAAAAAAAAAAAAAAAAAAAAAAAAGGAGGGGATCTGTTCTCCTCCATCTAGGCGGATTGGATTGGTGGGCAGTCCATGCCCGCACCTCGTAAACTGAGCAGACAGGGACCTGTCATCCACCCGTCCTGTTCTGCTCAGCAGGGGATGAGCGGACAGATCTCTTGCTGAGCAAACTGGATTCCTCCCCCTGTGAAAGGGGCCTTAGGTGGAGCCAGGGGCGGAGTGACAACTCATGGGGCCCCCGGACAACAGGGGATCATGAAGCCCCTGTGTCCTTGCCCAAACTCTAAAAAGCCTATGAAAAAGGTACCAGGCAGGGGCAGACTGACAACTCATGGGTCCCCTGGGCAATAGGGGATCATGGGGCCCCATGTCCTTGCCCAAACTCAAAAAAGCCTATGAAAAAGGTACCAGGGGCATCTCATGGGGCCCCCTACTGACCCCGGGCCCTCGGGCAGTGCCCGAGTTTCCAAATGGTCAGTCCACCCCTGGGTGGAACTGAGGTTTAATGTGTGTGAATGTTTGTTGGCGAGCAGGTCAACAGACAACACACACACTGTAGACAGAGCAACAGCATGAACCTGAGAACCTAAGGGCTCATGTATACTGGGCGTTTGAACTTCTCCTGCCTTTTACTCCAGGCAGGAAAAAGCCTAAAGCACATGAGTTTAGGCGTGTCAAGCATTTGGGTGTTTATGGATTCCATTGGCCAGAATATTAATTTATTCTGGCCTTTGGAATGAATGAAGTGCTACAAGCATCTAGCATTTAGATGCATTTAGGCATGTCATGAGTTTTTTTTTTTTGCCCTAAACCTCCTCTCCTGAATGCATTGACGATATTTCTTGTTCTGCTTGTAAAAATGCTCCTCTTCTAATACACCTGAAAATGCCTATGTGTACATAGACTCCTAGGCTAACATAGAGGTACATATACAGGCAGAAAAAAAAATGACAAATGCCTGTAAACGCTGTGTTTTGTTTTTGTAAGCCCTGCGTGCATGAGCCCTTAAATTCCAGCCGTGTCATGTCCTTCACATGCTAGAAAGGCATGCTGGGGCTTGTAGTTCTTAAACTACTGAGAGAGACACACAGTGTAACCATAAATCTTGTAGACTGAGAAAGCCACCCAATTATCATCCCCCTGGCGGTCGGTAACCTAGGTGTAAGGTGAACACAGAGAGGGCAATCTTTATTCAGTTATAACACACAGCTCTTACCTCCCACCTCTACAACCCCCAGGCCCCTTCTTTAATCCTCCCCGATTCCCAGCAGGCCAGTGAAGGGAATCAAAGGGTTAATTACCACATTAACAAGAGGATTATCTGGTTACAAACCAGCAGCGCCTCTTGTATCCTTTAATGAGCTCATTAGCTTATCAAACCAGAGGGGCAGTTCTGAAGTGGTGCCTTTCATCTCTGCCCCCTCCCCTGCCTCTCAAAGTGGTATGTGCCAGCAGTGCTCTTCTACAGCCTGACGGGATTCTCCATATGGGAGGAGGTAGGGGGAGCCCTTTTTTCTCCTGACTGTACAATTAACCTTTTCTTGCCTGCGGGCATGCAGAGCACGCCTTGGTATGCCTCCTCATCTTTACATGCACAGCTCATTACTGCACCTCGCATCCATCCGTGTAAAATAGACAGAAAACTACATGCACTGCGTAGCAGTTGACCTAAATATCCAGCGGACCTTAATGTGTTTATGTACAGCCCTCACAGTATACACTGAAACAGCAAGATCTAGCAGGTGCTACAATGTTCTAACCAAGAGAGCTTACAATCTAGAGGGCAAGATCAGCTCAGCTTCTTGTCTTCCTATATAAATAACTAACGACACAAAAAAAAACCTATTATAACTCTTGTGTTATAAGACGTACAAATAACATTCACAACTATGTGTACATATATCCATGCTACACAGAAACTGAGACAATGAGACATTTATGTTTCTTTGGTGTCTTGTAATCTGGTATTCTGTGTTGGCTGCCTTGTTAGGTAAAAGGATGGCAGTTGGTCATTTTCCTTTGTGGGTTACGGAAAGGAAGCCAATTGTTTATAGCCGTCATTTTTAATATCTTCAATTCTGATCATCTCTGGAACCTTATATCCCTTTAACTATAAATAATATTAAAAACGCTTTTATTTAAAGGCTCAGTCCACCTTTGTAAACACGTACCATGCTATACCCATTTTTATGGTGTAACATGAAACACGGTCACCTCCCCTAAATCCTTACTCTCAAAACTGCCCCCCACTACCTGAATTGTGGGGTGCTTCTTTCTGGAGTGTCTTGTTGATTTCAGCTGTTCCCAGCTCTGCTTGCACAGCCCTATCACCCATTCAAACAGATCTGTGAATAGAGAGACTACAAGTCCCAACTGCCACCATGGCGAGAGTCATAAATCTCAATGGAGCCCAAGTGTCACCGCACTTGTATCCCTTTGATTACTACCTCCAGTCCCATAACTTTAGGTCTTTATGTTCGTACAAACCTGGAGCTGGGATGCAGAAGCCTTTGCTTTGCACCTGCAATGCGTTGATCGCAGTTGCAGTGCTCTTCAGGCTTCAATGAAAAAATTAAGAAATAATAAATGCTCGTTTTTTAATTTTATTATAGTGGGTGCATTCATTTTTGTAAAAGGTGGACTATGCCGTTACACCATTAGGTAATTTCTGTAAATGCAGCTCAGTGTAAAGACATGGTCATTGATTTGCAGGGGCGGACTGACCATTTGGAAACTCGGGCACTGCCCGAGGGCCCGGGGTCAGTAGGGGGCCCCATGAGATGCCCCTGGTACCTTTTTCATAGGCTTTTTTGAGTTTGGGAAAGGACACAGGGGCCCCATGATCCCCTATTGCCCGGGGGCCCCATGAGTTGTCAGTCCACCCCTGTTGATGTGTGTGCAAATCTGCTGTACACGTCAGTGAAGAGCTATGGCTACAGACCAGGTTCATTTCCCAGAATCCTCTATACCATTGGGTAAACCATTGTGCAGCAAAAGTAGGAATGGCAACTAATATATCTTACTGCGCTTACCTATTATGTATAGTGTGGTGACAAAGTTTATTACTAGCCGCAACAGTGCACTAAAGGAGGTGGAGCTTAGCTGCGAAGGGCAGGGCTTACCACTAGCAGAACCAACCACATGTTGGAAAAGTTATCTGACATTTCAAATGTATCTCCACAGTGACAACGCTTGTGGAAATGGCGTAATGAAGAGAGATTACCAATCATAAAGCACTGTAATCTGCAGTTTCTCCTCTGTTAAAGTGAACCTGTCTGGAAAGAAATAGAGGAGCTATCACTGCTGACATGCTTGTGAATGTGCATGCTCCAGGGCCGTCATGCTTATCCTTCATTACTCAGTAAATGACCTGGAACAAGCATGTTCTTATAACTTGTCCTGACTGCCCAGACATCCTGTACAGAAGGAAGGATTCCAAGTTGTCACAGCCTAAGGCCCCTTTCACACTGACAATCCATAGTTCACTATGGAGCAGCAGGTGTCTGCTGACACCCGCCAGCATCCGATCTGATCCTGTACACTAAAAACAGACGGATAGCGATCGTTCCCCATCTATCTGGCAGATCGAATGACAATCGGATGGAAATGGAGAGGCAGTCCGTTTCCATCTGACCGCACCATATAAAACAGCGAGCTGTGTCTGTGTCTACTCTGCAGCAGCAGAGCGGACACAGAGCTGTCATCCGCTTGCTCAGCGGGGATCAGTGGAGAGATCCCCCACTGAGCAAGCGGATCCGCTGAGGGGTCCGCCCCTTCTGAAACGGGCCAAAATCAGACTGCACAACATTTGAAGTGGACCTGTCACAAAGCAAAACATCTGTTGTGACAGTAAGCATTTTTTCTGACTCCGAGGTTCAATGCTATTTTGGGGGCTTTAAAACTTCACCAATAATTTGCCTTCCCGTAGCATGGAGCTCAAGAGTCAGAGTAACAGTTTCACCTGAGCCTACACACACTGGCACATTGTTTTCAATTGCAAGCTGGCCATACTCGGTTCAAATTTAAGTCCAATTCCTGCTAAATTGGATGGAATTTAAGCCCTCAGTGACCCTGTCAGCACCAAAGTTGACAACAATCGATTTAAAACTGTCAGATGAACCACTATTGCATGCTCTCAGATACAGTCACTGTTTGGGTATTCAGGCAGCCACAGGCTCTGCGGTTGTCAGAATAGCCAACTGGGGAGATTAGTACATTCATACAGTTTAGCTTGAATGGTGGAATCAATTGAGGGGGATAGGGGAATCTACACGTCTATAACTAGCCTGAGTCTCTTTCAGAAATTGCAGGTCCCACCCCAAGCTGGTAGGACATGCTGTGACTTGTAGTTCCTCAAAAGCTAGAGGCTTACCAGTGTGTAACAGGCTGGACATTGCTAAACTCCCTGGCTGCTGGTTCTTACAGTAGCTATCCTGAGTCGAACATATGACGTGTCTTCTCCTCCTTAGCTGAAAACTGAGAGGGAGCTACTGTGTCTTGAGGGCTGTAGTGTTCTGTGTCTATGTGGAAATAATTGTTCAGCTTGTCCTAGTTACAGTACTAGAGGGTACAAACCTTAGCTCAGCACCTCTTCACACTGCCCCCCCCCCTCCCCAGATCAGCATGCACATCACTGAATTCACCAAATCACTTTCTGCTCACTTGAGACCGAACAGCTGAACTGCAACAACTGGGAACCCCCCAAAAAAGACTGATATTTCTTTATTTTATCTTACCTTTTCCAGCTCTAACAAGTGAAATCGTAAAACCTGGATCGCCTGTATCATCTGCAAATAAAAAGAGAGAGAAGCAGAGCTGTCAATCATATCTGACACTTAAGTCATTTAAGAGAGTGCTGCTGCAGGACAATATTGTACATCACATCTAATTAAAGTCCAATATACACTAAGTGCATTGTAGTTAAGTGTGCTTTTGATGGACTTTGGAATTATATTCACTTTGAGCAAGCCCAAATGATGTGTATGCACTTATGTACGATCCATGAGGCTTATTTGGTGCACTGTAACTGTCCTGTAGCCCCAATTCATCACATCCATAACCATGGCTTGCTGAGTGTTCCAAGAGCTTACAGTCACAATATTTAATCAATAAACCAAAGCATGAGTACAATTCAGTAACCAGATTACCATAGTCAGAAGTACTAAGAGAGGATTTCTAATTGGCGGTATTAGGTACTCTAAGATTGGGGTTGATTTACTAAAGGCAAATAGGCTGTTGACTCTGCAAGGGAATTTTCCCTTAGCTTAGTGAATGTGGTGAAAATTCACTTTGCAAAGAATATCCAATTACGTGCAAGGAAAATATATGTATTTTTTTGTACAAGACTGGATGATGGAAGTCAGTAAAGCTTCATCTTGTTCACTAAGCTAACAAAATTAATTTGCACGATGAACAGCCTATTTGTCTTTAGTAAATCAATCCCATTGCCATTACTACTGGCATATCGAAGAAGACTGGTAGACTCATGGTCGATGTCTGTGTTGCCCAACAGCTAGGGCAAATATAATGAAAGGGCAAAAGGGACTGGCTTCAAGTCCACCGGGACAGGTGCTGCTATGAGGGCCTGCTAGCAGGGGTGGACTGACAACTCATGGGGCCCCCGGGCAATAGGGGATCATGGGGCCCCTGTGTCCTTTCCCAAACTCAAAAAAGCCTATGGAAAAAAGGTACCAGAGGCATCTCATGGGGCCCCCTACTGACCCCGGGCCCTCGGGCAGTGCCCGAGTTTCCAAATGGTCAGTCTGCTCCTGCCTGCTAGTAATGTAAAGAGGATTGAGATGTAGACTGGATTGTGATGCTCATAACAAGCCTATATCCTAAATTCTCGGAGCTCTGAAGATCTAATTTCTTCCTTGTGTAAAATGAAACTTCAATTTCATTAGGTAAAAAAAAAAATCTACATGTTGAGAAATAAAATCTGGGGCTGCCTGAATAGAATACAATACAATGGAGATTTCTGGTTGGTCAAATCAATTGATTTGTTTCATTCAGCCTGCGGGGCTGATTGAGAGAAATTGAGCCATGTATGGCTAGACTTAGCATAATAGTAAAAAAAAAACCACCACCCAGCATGCTCTCAAATTTACAGCACTTTTTTTTCAATTGTCTCACTGAACCTGAAGTTCCTAGTACAGCAGCTTGCTGGGGATGCTTGAAATTTGACCTCAAGCTCTGCACAGGCTTCTGGGAGAAAGTGGTGAGACACTTATAAAAGCAGGGGATCCAGAATTTCTAGAATGTCTGTCTACACATACTTCTACTGTTGTTGTAAAAAGGAGAAAAAGGTGATTTCCCCCACAGTTTTAGAAAAACATTGCTCATTTACTCATTACTCACTTATATTTTTAGCATTAAATGTCTTATATAACAATTACAATACATGATTCAACAAAACTGAAGAGCTACTGATTTAAAACAGGGGCCACCAAACTTTCTAAGCAAAGAGTGAGTTTACTGTACTTCAGAGTTTAAGAGGGATGGATTTTGACCAGGGGGAGTAGAAAATGCCTTAGACTTGATGGTCTTGAGGTAAAAAACATTTACATACTGTAGGTTTGTGGTCAGGTGGAGAAATAGTGTCCCATCATTGATATTAGTGGGAGGAATAGTGTCCCATCATTGATATTAGTGGGAGAAATAGTGTCCCATCATTGGTATTAGTGAGAGAAATAGTGCCCCAGCATTGCAATTAGTGGGAGGAATAGGGACCCAGCATTGGTATCAGTGGGAGGTATAGTTCCCCATCACTGATAGCAGAGGAAGGAATAGTTCCCCATCACTGGTGGCAGGGGGAGGAATAGTGCCCCATCGTTGGTATTAGCGGAAGGAATAGTGCCCCATTGTTGGTATTAGCAGAAGGAATAGTGCCCCATCGTTGGTATTAGCAGAAGGAATAGTGCCCCATCGTTGGTATTAGCAGAAGGAATAGTGCCCCATCGTTGGTATTAGCGGAAGGATTAGTGCCCCATCATTGGTATTAGTAGAGGGAATAGTGCCTAATCATTGGTATTAGTGGAAGGAATAGTGCCTAATCATTGGTATTAATGGAAGGAACAGTGACCCAGCATTGCTATTAGTGGAAGGAATAGTGCCCCATCATTGGTATCAAAGGGAGGAATACTTCCCCATCACTGGTATCAGTGGGAGAAATAGTGCTTCATCATTGGTATCAGAGGGAGGAATAGTGCCCCAGCATTGCTATTAGTGGGAGGAATAGTGCCCCAGCTTTGGTATCAGTGGGAGGAATAGTGCCCTATAAATGGTGTTAGTAGGAGGAATAGTTTCCCACCATTGGCATTAGTGGGTAGAATAGACCCATAATTGGTGTCAATAGGAGGAATAGTGCCCTCTGCACGGTATCAGGGGGATGAATAGTGCTCCATCTTTGGTGTCAGTGGAAGGAACTGTTCCTCATTGTTAGTATCAGTGGGAGGAATAGCACTTTGTATCAATGGGAGTAAAAGTGCCCTAAGGACCAGATAAAGGCAAGCAAAGTGCCACATTTGACCCGTGGACTGCAGTGTGGAGACCACTGCTTTAAAAGATCTGCTTGGTGCTATATATCTCTGATCAAATAAAATATATATAACTATACAATATTGTGTACATTTAATTCATCTATAACTACCCACCAACCTATATCAAAACGTTTTTTTCACTAAAGACCTCTGACGTTTCCTTTAAAAAAAAAGTTTAAAATGCTAGATGAACTCGCAAGAAGCAATTTTTGAAATGGAAAAATGATATGATGAGGGGCCACCTGGCCTAAAACAGCCAATCGAATCTTTGCAGAGTAGATTGGAAAATGGATGGAGCAATATGAAAGGTTGTAATGGGCAGCACAGATGAAAAATGCATGTGCCATAGAATCTGATAATGAGAAATTCCAGGATCTTCTCTCACACAAGTCTTACCAGGTTGTCCAGCTCCGGATTGGAAGAGAAGAGAGGTTTTTCCGTTCTGACCTGGAGACATAAAGCAGAAACACAGTGCGTTACCATCAAAGAGAGAAGCTCTCCGTCCCGCTGACACTATGTCTATCCCCCTCCAGTTCTCTTCCAGATAAACTTTGCATTTTATTCTCCAATAATCTATTAAATGGTTGATCTTCTTGCCTTGCGTATCCCCTAGAGGAGGCTCCTCTGTGGCCTCACGTCAGCAGCTCTCCTTTAATATCCTAAACCCTCTCACTTTCCCCATCCATAAAACATCAGCGAGGAGATATCGGGATTTTTCCTATCGCCCAACTTCAGAAAGAGATATTTGTTATAAGGAGAAAGAGTGATCGTGTGTTTTAAGTGTTTCTGCATTGATTTTTTTCCCCTTAGCATTTATTTTATGCTCAACAAAATAATTTTTTAAAAAGAACCCAGAAACTTTAAAGAGAAACGCTAATTTTGTATATCAGAAAACATATTAATTTCAGTTCAATGTTTCAGTTCAAACCCCAGAGTCAGTATCATTTTAATTCCTTATATGATTCTCTGGATACAGTTGTCTCTATTGCTGGCCTTATGTGGGCTGTCCTAAACTTAAAAAGTCCAGATTTTCACTCTGTTCTTTGCTTTACTGGGGCTGCTGTGGAATGCATTGTGCAGGAAAGTCAGTTATAGCCAGGTTAGATTGGCCATATACTTGGTTAATGTCAACCCAAGAAAGGAGCTTGGAATGGAAAGGTCCTGGTCTATATTGCACAATTCTCCTAGCAAGAGCAAGTGTTTCACTTCTATCTACCACTTTTTTCCCTCTACTCAGTAGGAAAAGGATCAGTTCTGGGCAGAGATTTCCCTGACAAGCTAGATCAGTCTTTCCCAACCAGGGTTCCTCCAGAGGTTGCTAAAGGATCCTTGAGCAATGAGCAACCTCTGCCTCTCAAGTGAGTAACCAATGACACTAATGATCTTTATAGCTATCTGCAAGTGTTTCACTTCTATCTACCACTTTTTTCCCTCTACTCAGTAAGAAAAGGATCAGTTCTGGGCGGAGATTTCCCTGACAAGCTAGATCAGTCTTTCCCAACCAGAGTTCCAACAGAGGTTGCTAAAGGATCCTTGAGCAATGAGCAACTTCTGCCTCTCAAGTGAGTAACCAATGACACTAATGATCTTTATAGCTATCTGCAAGAGGGGAATTCTTCCCAATGACCACAAGTGTAAAGAGTATTCTTCCCACCGACCATTGTACCATGAGCTGTAGATATAGCACTTTTTAGCAGGGGTTCCCCTAAGCTATCTGTAAGGGGGGAATTCTTCCCAATGACCACATGTGTAAGGAATATTCCCCCATTGACCATCACACTAATGTACCATGAGCTAGTAGAGAAATATGCCCCAGTACAATTTGTAGCATAGGGTTCCCCAGCTATCTGCAAGGGGGATTCTTCCCCATGACCACAAGTGTAAGGAGCATTCTTCCCCATCACTGACCATCACACTAATGTACCATGAGCTGGTATTAGCGGAAGGAATAGTACTTGTTTTAGCAGGGAATAGTTGCCCCATCGTGGAATTAGCAGAAGGAATAGTGCCCCATCGTTGGTATTAGCAAAGGAATAGTGCCCCATCGTTGGTAAAGAATACGGAAGGATTAGTGCCCCATCATTGGTATTAGTAGAGGGAATAGTGCCTAATCATTGGTATTAGTGGAAGGAATAGTGCCTAATCATTGGTATTAATGGAAGGAACAGTGACCCAGCATTGCTATTAGTGGAAGGAATAGTGCCCCATCATTGGTATCAAAGGGAGAGGAATACTTCCCCATCACTGGTATCAGTGGAGAAATAGTGCTTCATCATTGGTATCAGAGGGAGGAATAGTGCCCCAGCATTGCTATTAGTGGGAGGAATAGTGCCCCAGCTTTGGTATCAGTGGGAGGAATATGCCCTATAAATGGTGTTAGTAGGAGGAATAGTTTCCCACCATTGGCATTAGTGGGTAGAATAGACCCATAATTGGTCAGTCAATAGGAGGAATAGTGCCCTCTGCACGGTATCAGGGGGATGAATAGTGCTCCATCTTTGGTGTCAGTGGAAGGAACTGTTCCTCATTGTTAGTATCAGTGGGAGGAATAGCACTTTGTATCAATGGGAGTAAAAGTGCCCTAAGGACCAGATAAAGGCAAGCAAAGTGCCACATTTGACCCGTGGACTGCAGTGTGGAGACCACTGCTTTAAAAGATCTGCTTGGTGCTATATATCTCTGATCAAATAAAATATATATAACTATACAATATTGTGTACATTTAATTCATCTATAACTACCCACCAACCTATATCAAAACGTTTTTTTCACTAAAGACCTCTGACGTTTCCTTTAAAAAAAAAGTTTAAAATGCTAGATGAACTCGCAAGAAGCAATTTTTTGAAATGGAAAAATGATATGATGAGGGGCCACCTGGCCTAAAACAGCCAATCGAATCTTTGCAGAGTAGATTGGAAAATGGATGGAGCAATATGAAAGGTTGTAATGGGCAGCACAGATGAAAAATGCATGTGCCATAGAATCTGATAATGAGAAATTCCAGGATCTTCTCTCACACAAGTCTTACCAGGTTGTCCAGCTCCGGATTGGAAGAGAAGAGAGGTTTTTCCGTTCTGACCTGGAGACATAAAGCAGAAACACAGTGCGTTACCATCAAAGAGAGAAGCTCTCCGTCCCGCTGACACTATGTCTATCCCCCTCCAGTTCTCTTCCAGATAAACTTTGCATTTTTATTCTCCAATAATCTATTAAATGGTTGATCCCTTCTTGCCTTGCGTATCCCCTAGAGGAGGCTCCTCTGTGGCCTCACGTCAGCAGCTCTCCTTTAATATCCTAAACCCTCTCACTTTCCCCATCCATAAAACATCAGCGAGGAGATATCGGGATTTTTCCTATCGCCCAACTTCAGAAAGAGATATTTGTTATAAGGAGAAAGAGTGATCGTGTGTTTTTAAGTGTTTCTGCATTGATTTTTTCCCCTTAGCATTTATTTTATGCTCAACAAAATAATTTTTTAAAAAGAACCCAGAAACTTTAAAGAGAAACGCTAATTTTGTATATCAGAAAACATATTAATTTCAGTTCAATGTTTCAGTTCAAACCCCAGAGTCAGTATCATTTTAATTCCTTATATGATTCTCTGGATACAGTTTGTCTCTATTGCTGGCCTTATGTGGGCTGTCCTAAACTTAAAAAGTCCAGATTTTCACTCTGTTCTTTGCTTTACTGGGGCTGCTGTGGAATGCATTGTGCAGGAAAGTCAGTTATAGCCAGGTTAGATTGGCCATATACTTGGTTAATGTCAACCCAAGAAAGGAGCTTGGAATGGAAAGGTCCTGGTCTATATTGCACAATTCTCCTAGCAAGAGCAAGTGTTTCACTTCTATCTACCACTTTTTTTCCCTCTACTCAGTAGGAAAAGGATCAGTTCTGGGCTGGGCAGAGATTTCCCTGACAAGCTAGATCAGTCTTTCCCAACCAGGGTTCCTCCAGAGGTTGCTAAAGGATCCTTGAGCAATGAGCAACCTCTGCCTCTCAAGTGAGTAACCAATGACACTAATGATCTTTATAGCTATCTGCAAGTGTTTCACTTCTATCTACCACTTTTTTTCCCTCTACTCAGTAAGAAAAGGATCAGCTTCTGGGCGGAGATTTCCCTGACAAGCTAGATCAGTCTTTCCCAACCAGAGTTCCAACAGAGGTTGCTAAAGGATCCTTGAGCAATGAGCAACTTCTGCCTCTCAATTGAGTAACCAATGACACTAATGATCTTTATAGCTATCTGCAAGAGGGGAATTCTTCCCAATGACCACAAGTGTAAAGAGTATTCTTCCCCACCGACCATCACACTAATGTACCATGAGCTGTAGATATAGTACTTTTTAGCAGGGGTTCCCTAAGCTATCTGTAAGGGGGGAATTCTTCCCAATGACCACATGTGTAAGGAGCATTCTTCCCACTGACCATCACACTAATGTACCATGAGCTGTAGATTTAGTACTTTTTAGCAGGGGTTCCCTAAGCTTGGAACGTAATTTCAAGGGTTCCTCCATGTTAAGAAGGTTGAGAAAGGCTTAGCTAGACTGTCTTGAGTAAAGAACACTCATTATTGACCCTAGGCCAACCCTTAATGACTTAATCAGCGTATTGGGCTTCTAAATCATTGGTTGGATAAAGTTAATTTGGGAGATTCCATTGGCCGCTTTGCTCTGAACATATAGTTTGTTTTGTGTATATATCACACATATTGGGCTTCTAAATCATTGGTTGGATGAGGTTAATTTGGGAGATTCCATTGGCCGCTTTGCTCTGAACATATAGTTTGTTTTGTGTATAGATCACACATGGCAACCAATGCATTTGAAAAATAAAACTGTAGGCCTGAAGGACTCATAAAAGAAAAATATAGAATTTTGGATGACATTATGCAGTAAAAATATAAAAAAATTAGAGAAATTAAGACCTGGGGCTTCAAGATCCTGATCACTGTACCAAGCTTGAAAAAGGGGCACAGGTTATACAAGCCGCTTGCATCTCTTTAACAGCCACCCAAGATGTACTGACACCATACTTCATTATTAGTCATTAAACTCACACTTTTAATTACATTGCCAGTGCACATATGCAGTACAGCAGCCCAACTACACTGAATTGTTTAACAGTGTTCATTTAGCAATGCTTGTACTGCATAGTTTTGCTGATGATAGAGTGGTAATCAGATGTCTTATTCAAACCTGTCCTCTCCATAACAACATTAGATTGTAAGCTCTCAGGAGCAGCTCCTAAAGCCTAATACACACGATGATAAAATCAGATGAAAAAAACGCATTCGGAGCGATCGTCCAATAATCTGATCATTAGTACACAGCTTTCGAGAGCCAATCACGACAGTTCATGCGAAAATATCCGAAGGGACAAGCACGAAAATTGTTCTCGTAAGATAACATAACGAACGATTTTCATGTAATTAGTATAGTATTTCTACAAAAAAAAATTCAAATGCATGCTCAGAAATGAAAGAATACATTATAATATAATATATTACAACATCGCGGGAGCTGTATTCTGTCTTATGAAAATTTTTATAACTTTAGTATCCTATTCATTTTCGATAGGAGACTAGCATGCAAAGAAGAAAAAAAAAATGGATGATCATCCATCCGATATTCCTTTTGTGTGTGTGAGGCCTAACCCTCTTGTGTTGAATTGTATTGTAATTGTACTGTTCTAACTGTTGATGCTTTATAAAACCTGTAGAATGCTTACACGCTGTAATGATTAATGAACTTAAAATATTCCTGGCAGAAAATAAAAGTGAGGATGGGCTGTATAGCACTTGCACTTATTTGCGCATATGCGTACACACCCATAAAAATCCTTCTAGCTATATTTTAATCAAGGGAGTGTGGTGTATGGCCATATATGTGCGTATTTGCATGTACATGCATAAAAATACTGACTGGCAATGCAGATTTCTATATTTTTTTTAAACTGATCTATATGCAGTGCATGTTTACGCGTCTCTACAGGCACATTGAACACAATGGTCTCCATTTACATCAGTAAAAAACGCCTGTGTGCCTAGAATCGTTGCATTTTTAGGCAGCAGTGTGCAAGAGGCCTTATGGGTAGAACTCTGATTATATTCTCTCTGACTGTAGTAGAATAAAACTTGGAGGGGGGCATAGTACAAAGCCAACAAAAACCAAAAGCGGTTGTGAAGTAAACTTACACAATGGGGGAGATTTACTGAAAATGGTGAACGCAGAATCTGGTACAGCTGTGCATGGGAGCCAATCAGCTTCTAAGTTCAATTTCTTTAATGAAGCTTTGGCAATAAAACCTGGAAGCTGATTGGTTTCTATGCAGAGTTGCACCAGATTTTGCACTCTCCAGTTTTAGTAAATAACCCCAATGTCGGGATATGTGCACTCATCTTTTTTTTTGTGAACTGGAGAAGTGCTTTGTACAGTTTAGAGAATTTTTGATGGAGGACGGCTCACTGCTGGGTGGAAATGAACTGTGTGTAATGGTTGTTTCATTGTCCAGAATGCACTGAAGCAGCATATTTTTCTGAGACAGGCCCCAGGTCCTACTGCAGGCCCCGAGCACTACTGTGGAATACTATTTATTTTAAACAGTGGATGTGGAAATAAAAAGCCAGCACAGGTAAATAGCTTTGACTTAGCATATTTTAACAGATATAGAAATGAATGCATGTGTGTGTATGCCTGTGGGGCAGGGACTGATAGATCGTAAGCTCCCTTTGAGAGCAGGGACTGATGTGAATGTGTAATATATGTAGGTTTATTGTCAGTGCTATATAAATATCTATAACAAATAAATACATAAATCAGACTAGGTATGAGGGTTGATTTACTAAAGGCAAATAGACTCTGTACTTTGCAAGTGCATTTGCCCTCATTTTCCTTAGTAAACGTGATGTGGATAAAGCTTTGCTTTGTAAAGAATACCAAATCAGGTGCTAGGAAAATAAAAAGAAACAGCATTTTTCTTGCACATGATTGGATGATGGAAATCAGCAAAGCGTTGCCACATTTACTAAGCTCTAGAGAAAATGAGTGCAACTGAGCTTGCAAAGTGCACAGTCTATTTGCCTTCAGTAAATTCACCCCACAGTCTTCATGCAACTGCAAAACTAAGTCCTGTCTTTTCAGCAGCGGTATAGAGAAGACAAATCAATGGCACCATAAACCATGCCTAACTATGCTGAGGCTTGTAGTCCCAGAAGAATTAAACTGGTTATTATAAAGGCTGGCTACTTTAGCTACTTGTGCTGTTATAGTCCATCAAAAACACTGAAAATGCACAAAAAAAAAAAAAAAAAACCTGCTGTGTTGGTTTGGCTGTTTAGGTAAGCCAAGTAAAAATTCAAGAACCCAACGCGCTGTCCTCATTGGTTGTCCTGTCTTTTCATCAGCAATTTAGAGAAGACAAATCAATGGCATCATAAACCATGCATAACTATGAACCCAACCAGCAGATCATGCTGACGCTTGTAGTCCCAGAAGAATTAAACTGATTATTATAAAGGCTGGCTACTTTGGCTACTTGTGCTGTTATAGTCCATCAAAACACTGAAAATGAAAGAAAAAAGAAAAAAAAAAAAAAGTGCTGTGGTTTGGCTGTTTAGGTAAGCCAAGCAAAAATTCAAGAACCCAACTCACAGTCCTCATTGGTTGTCCTGTCTTTTCAGCAGCATTTTAGAGAAGACAAATTAACGGCAACATAAACCATGCCTAACTATGAACCCATCCAGCAGGCCATTGAGAATTCAACTTTTTAATATAAAGGCTGGCTACTTTTGCTACTTGTGCTGTTGTAGTCCATCAAAATGCGGAAAAAAAAAAAAAAAAAGGTGCTGTGGTTTTTGGTGTTTAGGTAAGCCAAGGAAAAATTCAAGAACCCAACTTGCAGTCTTCATTGGCTGCTGAAGATGTATGGGGAAGAGGGTGGGGGGTGGGTTGAAGTCCGCCCACCATCCAGAGATGTCAATTACAAGTCAGGCCAACTGTTCTTTATCTAACGTCAACATTCTAGGCTTCTAAGTGACCTTTCCTCTTTTGTGCTAATTGAATCCATCTTTTCCTGATCACATTCTGGATAAAAACACACCACATCCAACAAACCATCAGCTGGGATTTTTTTTTTTTTTTACTTCTGCGCACACTCACCTGTTTAGCAAACACAGCAATATCTTCGTTGAAGGAGTCCGATGAGCACACGTCCCCCCCTGGGTAGGAGCCGGAATTATCCCGCGGTGAACACGTCGCCAGTTCGCACTTCTCAAACACCAGTGCCAGTAGGGGAAAGAGGGGGTGTCTGTGGGGGGAGAGACAGTGTTACAGTTACACACTGAGAAATAAAATCTCTCACTTTCAATACAAAAAAAAAAAAAAAAAATCTACACACATCCCTAGGCTTTAGAGACCCTGGTCATCCAGCGGTGGTTCCAAAGGCTTGCAGTCTATGGAAATTCTGAGAACTGAGTAGGCCGTATGCGAAGCCATTCATCAGCTAGACGTATCGGCAAATGCTACGCAAACAAGATTTCCTCTCCGCAACCGCAGCCACATCAAAAGTGGGCTCTCTTTTTATATAAATCTTATATGGCATCTGTGTACATATACAAATACACACATTTGTATACTGAGATCCATTTTATTCAGCAATAATATGTACAGGTATCATGGACAGATGAAGATGTTTGCATACATTATATACTGGCTGATTATAAAGACGTATGTATTTTTAGATGTACACACACGTGTCTGTATATTTATAGACAGGCTGTGGGTGGTATTGTATTACACTTGGACTCTTAACACTGGTTTAACGAGACAAATCTCAGCCTCTGTTTAATGCACGCACCCCAAAAAATGGCATTTTTTCTTTATAACAAAACTGGAAATTTTTTTCTCAGCTCTATGGCTCACAACACAATTGCACTTTTTAATCTTTGGACTGGGCATATCATGAAAATAATCCACAATTTATACAGAAAAACACTAAGTGGGTTATTTACTAAAACTGGAGAGTGCAAAATCTGGTGCAGCTCTGCATAGAGACCAATCAGCTTCCAGGTTTTAGTATCAAAGCTTAATTGAACAAGCAGAAGTTGAAAGCTGATTGGCTACCATGCACAGCTGTGCCAGATTCTGAGTGCTCCAATTCTAGTAAATTTATCCCCAAATTGTTACAGTTGATATAATATGAAATTTGTGAGGGTGATTTACTAAAACTTGAGAGTGCAAAATCTGGTGCAGCTCTGCATAGAAACCAATCAGCTTCCAGGTTTTAGTATCAAAGCTTTAATGAACACACTGAAGTTAGAAGCTGATTGGCCACCATGTACAGCTGCACCAGATTCTGAGTGCTCCAATTTTAGTAAATCTACCCTGAATTGTTACAGCTGATACAATAATATAACATTTGGGGGGGGGTGATTTACTAAAACTTGAGAGTGCAAAAATATGGTGCAGCTCAGTAGAGAAACCAATCCGCTTCCCTTTTGTTTGTCAAAGCTTAATTGTACAAGCTAACGGTAGAAGCTGATTGGCTACCATGCACAGTTGCACCAGATTTTGCACTCTCTAGCTTTAGTAAATCGACCTCATATATCATATCTGTTATAACAAATGTAACCATGCCTTGAGATCTTGCTTTACATTAGGGATATAGGCTATAAGACTTTGAACACCTGCAAACAAACTAATAATTAGGGCTAATAACACATTCCAGCCAATGACAATGCATCTTTTATTAATCTATATAAGAAACTAAAACATTGAGTTAGTACACTTCTTGTCTACTGTCATAGCTAGCTGTCTACTCTGTTGTATATAGCCTAAAAGACTAGCTATATACCAAAAAGCCATATATCTCTTTTTTTTCCAAAAGCCTATAACAGAAGACACAGTATACAGTCCCAGATCTTCAACTATGTTGCTGTTTAGCAAACACAAATATTGGCCTCAACCCAGAAAAATAACTGTCAGCTCTTTCTCCGGATTAAATCCCTTTTTAAATCTGGAATACAAGTCAATGTTGTATAAGACACATGTTCTAGCCCTATGCTCTTTCCAGCAATGTGAAAAAAATCTATTTATCTACAGACTGTACATATTCCATAAATACAATACAGGATTATAAATCAGGGAAGATTTCAATATATTTTGCCAATAATCCGCTTGCTGACCTGGTACATAGACATACCACATGTGTACAACCCAGCCAAGAACCTTGATGCTAACCTCAATGCAAGCCTCATAAGTCAGCATGCTATAGTAACATACAAGCAACATACATATAAAGAACTGGAGCAGAATGCACTTGAGGATGAATAATGGGAAGTACAAATGCACAGTCAGTTGTTTATTAATTACAAAATACAGAAACAGTATATAAAATAAAAAAAATTAAAAAACAGTTGCTTAGTCGTAGTTTATGTGCTGATACGAGATGAATTCGGCACAATGAGCACAAATTCTACATAAATCGGCGCTCGATATGGCCAAAAGTGACTTTTAAATGGCTCGCTCCCAATACAGACGAGTGTTTATATACAATGAGCTGAGCCCTTAAATATTTTTATAAACAGGTTTCTATGGTGTACAACTGTGTGTCTGTATGTCGGCACAGCTGCCATAGATGTTCAGCCATAAACTGTGTATATAATGTGCAGCCCAGGCCTTCTCCGATCCCTACACAGCACAGTGCATTGTAAACCGCTAAAAGGTCAACACTAATATACAACAGCCATGGAGGACAGCAGAATTCTCTTACCCATAAATCTCATCCTTCTCCCTCTTCAAGACGTCATTGCTGCCCATACCAGGGGGCATTGGGACCCGGTGAGCCGCCCCCGCAGACCCATAGGGTGAGCTCTGGCTGAGAGAGTGGTGTTGCATTGCTCTTCCTGTGTGTGCATCCCCAAAGCCAGCCAAAGGGATGCCATCTAACCCCGGGTAATGCACCATTTCGTCGTACTGCAACCACAGAACCAAGGAAAAAAAAAAATAAAAACGTTAGATGTGAACACACCACATTTCATTTGAACATCTGTAACTTTCCATGAAGACATAAATACATGCCCAAGAATGCCCATCGACACTCATCAGTGCAGGATCTGTATTGTTACTCCATCTGCTTCTCAAGCAAACTTGCTAAAATGTCAGTAACACAGACACTGCTATAATGTCTACAGCGCCCAAAACACAACGTACATTATTGCTATATGGCGTGTGCTGTTATACCCTATAAATATATATATATACAAAGCCTTGAACCCATCACTATTTATTCTAGGCTATTATACCACAAGCAAATTAGTCTGCAATCTGCAGTTTAACACATGCATGATCTATATTCTATGTAATATACATAAATACCTGATACAAATAATGTTACCTTTACAATAATACCTAGGGCAAAACATAAATATATAATGGCCTGCTCATAAATCTATACTCTGTTATAGATTTCTTTCTCTGGGATATATATATATATATATATATGTATATATATATATATATATATATATATATATATATATATATATACACACACACACACAACACTATATATATATATATATATATATAGTTAAGGATATGTTCCTACAATATATCACAGATATGTTAACAGCATTGTACATGCAGATGGAGTACATAATACAGCAGAAGCACATGCAGACATATACACACCTACACAGCATATTAACACCATATATGCAAAAAATAAACAGATAAAAAAATATAGGCACAAAAACCCTGCCCACAGCTTGCAAAAAAAAAGTATTTTTTAGGCACTGATACCAAAGTAAGTTTTACTTCTGTTGCCCTTTCAAACCTTTACAGGATACACCCAAGATTAGAACACAAATGTAAAATGAGCAATATTTGGAGGGAAATTTGCCTTTTCTGTAGTTTTATTCCTGTTCTCAAATGGTTACATTAAAATGTTTTCTTAAATATCCTTGAAGTTAAAAACATTTTTGCATTCCTAACTGTAGCAGCCCAGTTTTATGCTATTGTGAAGAGATTGCAAACGTATTTTTATTTTTTTTTAAACCATGCATTTTTTAAAATGTTTTACATCTATACACCTTTTTGCAAAATTATCTACTTATCTATGTATAAACACAGTCTTTCTCTAACACTGAATTAAACATGATGTTCATTTAACTTAACTTTCTTTTTTTTTTTAGGATAATCTTCCAATTTGTTATTTTACACAATCCCAACCCCATGGAAAATCGTATTTCTGTATTTTAATTCTTTTTTTTTTTAAACGTTACATTCGCTCTCTCCACACTTCACTCCCAAACTTCCAGACAGGAATCAGTCAACTGTAAAGAAAAGTTTTTTTTTTTTTTCAAAATGCAAATCTCTCGCGAGTTTCTCATTCTGCCAAAACTTCTCAGCGTTTACATTTTCCTCTAACCGGCCCTGGAGATTTGAAGAAGTTTGAAGAAGTGTGTGAATTTCTGCCCTGGAGTTTTGTGATATAAACACTAACTTACACTCAAAACAGGGCTTGAAAGAAACCATGCATTAGAAACCATGCACTACCCCTGTGCTGTGTGCTTTATAACACATCTCTAGCTTACTTACACCCTATGTCATGTACAGGATATATATATATTTTACATCACAGATCTCTGGCTTGCCACTTTTTTTTTTGTCTTGTAAATACAAATTTATGCTACTTTAAAACCTTTTGCTGTAGGTTTTAAAATAGATCTCTAGCTACTTTATATACACACTATATTAAGTACAATCATTAAATATATTTTATATATATATTCACATACATTTTATATATACGCATATATATATATATTTTTTTTTTTATATATACACGCATGTTTGTATATAAAGTACACACATATTTATAGACACACACATATATAGAACTTTTTCAATCCTAGATCCCTGGCTTCTACCCCATGCATTTTCAGGACATAACAATGGTCCTATTCATCTACCTATCCCTGTCCCCATGTCCCTATGTTGGCCATGGTCATTCTTGCTCCCTGCTCCCCAACTGCCTGTATATTTGGATCAGACAGAAAACTGTCACCAGATAGCAGTGGCTGGAGATTTTCCCCTCTGCAGCTCCACTGGGGGAAGTTTAGTAAACAGCAGCAGACATCTCGGTGTAAATTCACACATTTAATGAGCCTGGCATTCCAGTGTTAATTTGCACAGAACTAATTAGGAGCTCGGTGTGATCTGCATAGAGGGAGATGCTGCTGATGGGTGGACGGGACCCGGCACAGGGCACATCGGGGGATGGAAACTTTCGGATCGAGGCTCCGGTGTCTGCAAAGGAAAGTTTTCCGAGGGTGGGTGGGGACCGAGCGGGTTGCTGGAGATCCCTACAGATCCCTCTACTTCACATCGGCTGGAATCGATCGCTGGGGGTCATCCAGCCACGGTGGGGGGTGTTCGGGGATCGGTGGGAGAGCACAGGCTGTGATTGGGCTTTGTATTAGGTGAGATCTGGATGGAGGAATTCAATATTTTGGGGTTTTGTTGTTTTTTTTTTGCAGTATATTTCCAGTTTACAAACAATCCAAAATCCCATCAACAAAGATCACCGAGAGAGCGAAATGTTACTGTGGATGAATGAATGATCCATGGATCCTCACCTAATATATACAATGTATGGAGAGGTCTGTATTCTATACAATGTATGGAGAGATCTACAGTCTATACAATGTATGGAAAGATCTACAGTCTATACAATGTATGGAGAGTTTTATATTCTATACAATGTATGGAGAGTTCTATATTCTATACAATGTATGGAGAGTTCTATAGTCTATACAGTATATGGAGAGGTCTACATTCTATACAGTATATGGAGAGTTCTATATTCTATACAATGTATGGAGAGTTCTACAGTCTATACAGTATATGGAGAGATCTACAGTCTATACAATGTATGGAGAGTTCTATATTCTGTACAGTATATGGAGAGTTCTATATTCTATACAGTATATGGAGAGTTCTATATTCTGTACAGTATATGGAGAGTTCTATATTCTATACAGTATATAGAGTTCTATATTCTATACAATGTATAGAGAGATCTACAGTCTATACAATGTATGGAAAGATCTACAGTCTATACAATGTATGGAGAGTTCTATATTCTATACAATATATGGAAAGTTCTATATTATATACAGTATATGGAGAGTTCTATATTCTATACAATGTATGGAGAGATCTACAGTCTATACAATGTATGGAGAGTTCTATATTCTATACAATGTATGGAGAGTTCTATATTTTATACAATGTATGGATTGTTCTATATTCTATACAGTATATGGAGAGTTCTATATTCTACACAATGTAGGGAGAGTTCTATATTCTATACAATGTAGGGAGAGTTCTATATTCTAAACAATGTAGGGAGAGTTCTATATTCTATACAATATAGGGAGAGTTCTATATTCTATACAATGTATTGAGAGTTCTATATTCTATACAATGTTTGGAGAGTTCTGTATTCCATAGAATGTATGGAGAGTTCTATATTCTATACAAGGTATGGAGAGTTCTATATTCTACACAATATATGGAGAGTTCTATATTATATACAGTATATGGAGAGTTCTATATTCTGTACAATATATGGAGTTCTATATTCTATACAATATATGGAGAGTTCTATATTCTATGCAATTTATGCAAAAAGTTCTACAGACAATACAATGCATGGAGGGCTATAGATGCTATACAATGTATAGAGAAAGTTATATATTCTATACAATGTTTGAGAGAGTTCTACATTCTATACAATATATGAGAGAGTTAAATACACAATATATTGTATGGAGGGTTATATGTGTTATACAATTAATGGAGAAAGTTCTATGTTCTATACAATATTTTGGAGAGTTATATGCAATATATGGAGAGTTCTATATTCTTTACAATCTATGCATAGTTCAATATTCTATACAATGTATGGAAGGGTTATATATTATACAAAGCATGGAGAGGTACATATTATGTGTACAGAAGTTACATAGGTACAATGTAGGAAAGAGTTACATATCCTAAACAAAGTACAGAAGAGTTGCATATATAGAATCTATAGAAGAGCTACATATTATTCAGTGTATGGGAGAATTATCTATAATATGTAATGTATAAAGTGTTATATAAAATTCAGTGTATGGGAGAGTTATATATTATATACAAAGTCTTATATATTATTCAGTGCATGGGAGAGTTATCTATAATATGCAATGTAAAGAGTTATATATTTTACAATGTATGGGAGAGTTATATATTATATATATTGTATTGGTGAGTTACATATTACATATAATGTCTGGAAGAGATATATATATATATATATATATATACACAGCATATTGAAGAATTATATATTATATACAGTGTATATAAAGTTAAATACTCTATACAATGTATAGAACATTTGCATATAATATAAATTGCATTAAGATGTACATATTATACAGTGAATGACGAGTTATATACTATATGTAATGTATGGAAAAGGCACATCCATTATCTGAAGAATTACATATTATATACAATGCAATTAAGAGTTCCATATTGTTACATAATATATACATTGTATGGAACAGTTCAATATTGTATACAATGAATGGAGAGTTATATAGAAGAGATATATAATACACATATTGTATAGAGTTCTATATTTATATACAATATATGGAGAGTTCCTGCTTATATAGACTACATAGAAGGTTCCAAATTATATACATCATTTAGAAGAGTTCCATATCCTATATAGTGTAATAAGAGTTCCATATTCTATAGATTGTATATAGGAGTTCCAAATGATATACAATGTATGGGATGTTATATATTATAGAGACTATATAGAAGAGTTCCATATAATATACATTGATTGGAAGAGTTTTATATTCTATATAGTGCAATAAGAGTTCCCTAACCTATACAATGTTTAGAGGAGTT